CAAGAAGATTATTCTCAAAATACGATGTCATTGTCTTTGTGGAAGTTTCACTGACAATGTGAACTAATTTTCTGTATTGGTAAATATAATAAGGTGCTTATAGGTGTGCTAATCATTTCACCAATACTTTTTCACAAATAAAGATGCAGTGATTTTTAATTAAATGGGGATGCTTAAAATTTTTGGGGACAAAATGAAGTTACATGAGATAAAAGGTTTAAAAACAGTTTTGCAGTATAACTAGAAGTGGGTTGAAAAGTCATTGGCTTAACATGACCAGTGATAAACACATGATTGCTCAGAAATCCAGAAGACAAGTTGGGCTGGCCATTTGGATTCACTTTCTTTCATTCTTCATCATTCTCTACATATCACAGCACAGGCCTGTCTATTCAATGACTTTATCTCATATTAAAATCTTGTCCTAACAGCACAGAGTACTGTTTATGTCATTTATCTTTTCAGAAGTTTTTTTCTACCTGAAGCCCCAGTTCAAAGGAAAGTCTTCATTGAGCAGAACATCACTAAGTCTGCCTTTGGGGCAGTACTCTGTCACGATGGCAACATTTGGCACTTCTATACAGCCTCCAATGAATTTGCAGAGATTGAGATGGTCAAGTTCCCTGTGAAAATCAACAGAAATCACAGTGCAACAGCAATTTTCATGGATGTCCCTCCTACTTTTTGTAGGGTAACTTGAAAACCAAGTGCCTTATCTCATAACATAGAGAGAAAAGTAAAACAGGCTTAAGGACATTTTGATCTGGTATCAAAGCAAAGTTTGAAAGAAAGAGGAATATGGACTTAGAGTCACATTTGGGCAGAACTAACCTTTAAAGCACCAGTGTCAAAATGGAATGACATATGCTTCTCAGGTTTCACTTCTTACCTCACCCGCTTTACTTCTTTACGTATGGATTTGGACACCGTGAATGTCTTCTTCATTATTTTCTTTATGGCCACTGTCCTACCATCACTGAAAAACAATGAAATGCTGTTCACAGAGTTTTAGACCAACTTCATTAGCCAGACTACAAAAATGAACTGAGTATTTTTTCTACAGTGGGAAGCTTCATATCCCTAGAGATGAGGGACAGAATTTAAGCCTGTCCATAAGCAGGTGTAAATTTGAATCGAAGTACATGACAGGGCCGTGTTTCTATGACAAAGGAAGCACTGGTGATTATATTTAAGCATCCTTGATCTGTGGATGACATTTGGAACATGCGAGTGTTAGAGTCAGTTGAGGCAGCTGGATGATGGGAGTAGCAGCAAAGGAAATGTCAGAGTTAATGAAACACATACAGCAACATCCCTGCTCTCCGTTGCTTCTTGTCTACTGTTTTGGAGATCTGCCACTGATATTTAATGCCCCTTTGTTCCCATGGAATGAAACATCCTCAGCGATGAAGGAGCTGAGTTTGATAGGCAGCAAAGCAATTTTCCTTGGAAGAACAAAGGAATCCAGTGGTGATACATGCAGGAATTTAAGTGATGCCCACCATATAAATACAGAGTATGGGTTCTGTGGTGTAGCAGATGTAGGTGCTTTGCCAATGAGACTGAATGCCCCATGTGTTTGGCCTTGATTCATCTGATGAAGATGATGATGAAAATGTCATCATTCAGAAAGAAGCAGCAAAAATGCTCACTGTAAAAGATCTATGCTGGACACAGTGTCTCATCAATGAAGTAGCTGCAGTTTTCCAGAACATTGATCTATGCTGAAAAAGCAGTTGCTCCCCCAGCTGAAGATCCCAAAGCTCCTCTGTCCTGCCAAGCACAGATCCTGCCCTGGGTATTCAAATGGTAGGTATTACTTCCGTCTTTGCACATGTTCCACCCCAACCTCCTAATTATATTATCTTTATAAGAAAAGCCGCTTTCTGGATAGCAGGATATGGCTACACTGTGTGCCCATATGGTTCCTTGATGTGCACCTTTATGATGTGATCCAAAGGTTAAATGCTTTGCATCTTCAATTATGTCAGTTAATTTAAGAACTGCAAGCTTTTCCACTACCTATCAACAGTAAGGTGGTGAGAATCAGAAAGCAAAGTGAAACTATAGTATAGTAGGTACTGCAGTAGATGAGTAATATATTGACTTACTATCTCCCAGTCTGGGTGAAGTACTGTTTCCTCGACATGTTAGCAGCTGTTGTGCAGGAGCTTAGAGCAGAGATACAGCTGGCATTGGAGTCACTGGATATTGGAGGAGCACTCATCATGCTTCCAATTGCTGTCCGTACTGTGCGATCTAAATGGGATGTGAGATGAGAAAAGACACCTGAGGATGCATATTATTGCCAAGATAGAGACTCCAGAGGCAGACAAATATAGGGAATTCTCCAAATCTTTGCATCTCAGCTGGTCTTGTTAAGACAGAAAGCCATTGCTTGCAATGGGACTGCTGCATAAAAAGTAAAAGGTTCCAGAGGTGATTCACTGCCAGAGATTTTTCTCCTTAATCCTCAGGATTTGATGCAAATATCATTTCTTTGCTTTTGGGATGATTAGCCCTTGCTGCTACTTGGATACCAAGGACAGAACCAGGGAAGCAGAGCAAGCCCTGTGCCTTACTTTAACAAGTCTATTTGGAGCTTCTAGAAGACTGTAAAGTACAGGGATGTGGGAAGTGATTCTGACACCAGAGGGAAGTCAGACAAGTGCAACAATACAGTCAGATAAAAAAAAATCAGTGATCCCAACGTATGTTTTTTAATCTCTGTTGTCCAGCTAAAGGTAAGAAAACAGATTTTAAAATGAAATTAATTAATTACATATAATTTCACCATCTCCAATTAAGACCCTAGATTTAGCCAATTAATCTCAGCGTAGCTGAAACCTCACACTTCTCCCTGGTATCACTATCCAATAAAGTGTTGCTGAGGAACTTCAGCGTCTCACCTTGCATCAGGAACACCATGTTCCCACACCATAGTATTACCCATATGCAGTTCAAAATTGCATTGACGTTTGGAATCTTTCCACAGCATTCCACCCAGAAATATATTAGAGATCCCTGAGATAGCTTTGAGAATGTGTGTGTGTATAAGTATAAGTATAAGTATAAGTAT